GGGGTCGAGATCGCCCCCGAGATCGCCCGAGATTGCCCGAGGTGACCCGAGGTGACCCGAGAGTAGGTGGGACTGCCCAACCAAGGCGCTCGGTTGCCCCAAGGTTGCGGCCGGTAACGCGTCGCGCATGTAGCGCGGCCGCGACTCGAGGGTTTGCCACGGGGTGGCGTGTGATGTACGACAGGTGGTCTCGACCAAGTGTGGTTCGTGGGTGTGTGCGTCGTTGACCAGCTGTGTGAGGTGCGTCTCGCGAGCCTGGCTTGTGTGAATTGGTGTGCGTGTCGTCGTCAGCGCGCGCGTGTGTGTGGCGTGTCGCTTGCTGTCCTATCCGTATAGGATGCCCTGGCCATATATGACCCAAACCTCTTCGCCGGCCCCACCAGCTCGACCGACTCGACCGCCAACCGGCTGGGTTTGGCCGGCGGCGCGACGCGTGGCCTGTGCTGCGGCCATCTCGGACGTTCAAGCGGCGGTGCCAGCCAGCGGCTCGGCCGCGCTGCGCGCATCCTTCACACACGCCGCCACGACCGATATGAGCGGGCCCAGTGTCGAGCCGTGATGCAAGCTGCTTGTGAGGGGCGGCTGTGGCCACAGCAGCAGGTCCAACAGACAGACGTCAAAGCTTGCCGTCGGTGTGCTGTCGTGGGGTGGTGCACGACACGCATTGGGAGGAGCCGAGTCAATGCAGTGGCAAGCCAGAGGCTACCCGGGTCACCAAGTGGTGCTCCTTGCCTGTTCTGAGCAGGGCTTTGCTCTGATGGGGCTGTGCTTGACATGTGTGAAGTGGGAGTGCGTGCCGGCGGTGTGTGAGAGTGAGAAAGACGTGTGTATGAGCGTATGAGGCCATAAGAGCCGTGGTATGAGCCAGAGTGAGCTTCATGACCCAAGATAAGATAGCGCGGTTTGGGACACATCTACACGCCTCCTGGCAGGGCTGGGCCGGCAGAGCGACAGGGAAGGCGAGGTGGTGAGCTGACAGGCTGGGGAGTCGGCTTGTGTACGTGTCGGAATGACCTGCCACAAAGCGTTGTTTGCGGCTATTGCTAAAAACTCTGGGAGAGAAGGCCTACATATTGTGACTGCATGCATGCAGTTGGTGCATGAGGGCTGCGGGACGGGACATATCACGGTCGGTGGCACCGATAATGACCTCCGGAATGCCTTCGCAATCGCCTCGGATAGGGTCCACCGGAGACAATCTCGAGCCTCTACGACTACGTGGCATCACGAGCCGGTGTGAGCTTGAAGACCCAAGGTAAGTGCGGTTTAAGATACCTCAGGCCTGCTACTGATGGGCCTGGCGGTGCAATGCGCCTGCGGCATCCGTTCTGTGCGCGCAGAGCCAGCCTCGCCCGCCGCGGTCCTCGTTGGGCTGTCGTGTTGGGCGGCGGACATGGCATATCGCTCTCGGGCCCACAGACATCCCGCACACCCGCCGCCCCCGCGCGCGCCGTGTGTGTGTGTGTCGCGCGCCCCGGGAGAAAGGGGAGTCCCTTGCTCCCAACCCATCCACCTCGCCGAGTGCCGAGGTGCTGCAGAATCGCGCGATCTCGGGCGATCTCGGACCGCGCCGCGCGATCTTGGTCGATCTCGCGCAATCTCGGGGCTCCACGCCACGCCACCCCCCCCCCCCCCACCCCCCACCCACCCACCGCCGCGCCGCGCTATCTCGGGCGATCTCGGAGCGTCGCTCGCGCGGCGGCACACCTGCTCAAAAAAGGAAGGGCCCGGTTGGAGCCACGGGGCTCACGTGCTCGTTCGGTTCTCGCCGCCTCACTCTGCGCCACTTCTGAGGCGTTGGCGAGGGCCGGTGAGGCGGCGCCCCGCGCGGCGCGTTCATCGCCCTCCACGCCGACCCCTGCGCGCACCGCTCATCTCCAGCCCTCTTGGGGTTACTCTCGCGCTCACGCAGGACCCGGGGGACTCCCCTCCCCCCACCTCCGACGGATTAGGTCGGTGCTGCGCCCCTTTGGCGCTTGTGTGCATTTCCCGCGTGCCCGCCTGCCAGGGCTGATGCCAAGGCCAACTCAACAACACGCCCGGCTGATGCCAAGGCCAAACCAACTGCCCGGCTCGCCGGCTGGTGCCAAGGCTCAATGACTCTCCTCTCCGTCTCTCCCCTACTCAGACAGGACTGATCCCCACGACACACGACGCACTCTCTCCTACTGTCCGACAGACGTTGCGCGACCGACACCTTTTCTTTTTCACCATAACGTAGGCACGGCCCTGAGCGACGCAGGCGCTGCGAGATTTTTTTCCCACGACGGTGGCGTGTGACCGCCGTGCTTCCCTCTTCGCCGTCGATGGCCAAAGACGACGGAAGGAGAATCCCATTCTGATGCACGTGCTCCTGGGCCGCTTGCGAACCATGCTCCTGATTACAGCCACGCACACTTGCTGGGGTTCCATGCGTGCATCCGATGTCCGAATGTGGCCACTGCTTGACGACAACACCGTCTCGCTTGAGCCTGGCGCATGCGCCCAAAGGCAAGGGGGCAAGTCATGCGAGCTGCGTGATGTCATTCGATCCGACCTCCACAAGTGGGCCGATCGCTCGATCCGGCCAGCGCAGCTCCAGTATTCGTTTGGTACTTCGAAGCTTGACAACAAATTTGCCGGCGCAGACTATGTGGACAGCAAACACTGGATGTATGCCGCGGTGCACGGCCGTCGCGTACACTTTGTCACGGTGGGTCACGAGTACGGCCGTCACGCCCGTACGATGCAGCGCATGCTACTGTCCCTCGCCGCAGTGGCGCCATTGGACGATTTTGAGCTTGCCTCCACGTTTGGGGATGCTCCTTGGATTAACCGCGCCGCCCCGACCGCCGACGCTTGCTTTGGTCGGCCACCGCTCTTTGCAAAGGGCACGTCGGAGGAAACGTGCAGCCTGGCGCTGCCGACTATCTTCTGTGGACCCAGCACAGCACAGAAGAGATTGACGAATGGCACAGGCGATATCTCGTGGGAGGCCAAACGCCCCCTTGCCTTTTGGCGTGGCTCATCTTGGATGATGGGGGGATGTGGCTACGCTGCTGGAGCCGACAGGGATGGCAATGGTTTGACACAGCTCGTGGACGGCCAACCCCGCGTGCGTCAGCTTGTGGACCCCCGCTTCTTGCTGGTCAACGCCAGCGCTCACGGTTCGCCCGTCATCGACGCCGCCTTTTCCGACGCCTGGGAGGGCGCCGACATTCGTGCTGCGGAAGTCCAGGCAAGCCGTGAAGACCTCATCAAGGTAGGAGGCAAGCTGAACGTGACAGTGCCGTCGGAGGAGCAATTCAAGTACCGGCTGCTCCCCACAGCATCGGTGCCGTGCGCTTACACGTGCCGTCTCGTGCCCTTCCTCAGCTCCAACTCGCTGGTCGTCAAGTTCTCCGGAGACGCCGAACACTACACCCAGGCGGTCTGTGGCGGGCTGCGACACGGCGTGCACCTGCTCCTTGCGACGCGGGCCAACTTTGGTGAGCTGTTGCACGCGGCGGTGGCACCCGCCGTGCAGCCGCGGCTGCAGCGCATGGTGCGCAACGCAAACGAATACATGCGCTGGGCCACCTCGGCCGACGGGCTGCACTGCTACTTGCATGAGCTGCTGAGCGGCTACGCTCGCAAGCTGAACTACTCCGTCGAGAGGGAGGGAGCGGTCGAGAAGTTGATCCTGCCCGCACTTGGACGTCACGCGCGCGACGCCCTCCGCAATAAGCGCTCGTCGCCGCGGCCCTCACCCTCGCCGCCGGGACCAGACTACAAGGATCCGGCGAAATGCCTCGACAACCCTTTCGACTTTACAATCCCCACCGACAGAACCACTGCTGAGGCGTGCGCGCAGCGCCGGTTCGTGCCTCCAGATCCAAGCTTGGTGGAGGAGTTCAAGCTCGGCAAGAACAGACATAGTGGACAAAATCTTCCGTTCGTACTCAGCAGCTACGAGCTGCCGCCGCCCAAGCTGGCTGCCAAAGATATGGCCGCACGATGTGAGCGGTTTTGGGCTAGACGGCCCGAGTCCAAGGCCGAGCGCAAGTAGGCGGCACGGACTAAGTGTAGTCAGCGCACTCACCGCAGGGCCGTAGCGGCCTCTACGTCGCGCGCCCTCTACAGTAGCGGTGGCTGGTTCGGCTGGCGGCCGAGGCGGGGCCGGGAGTGTAGCCGCGGTGGGGGTGAGCACACACGCACGACGACACGCGACTCGCGAGCGCTAGCACGCCGCAGGCATATACGTTAGACGCGCGCCGTCGTGCGTCGTTTTTTTGTTTTTTGTTTTTTTTGTTGAGTCGTTTTGTTCTGGGCAGAGCGCCAGAGTGCAGAGAGGCTCTCTTTTCTCTGAAGGGGGCTAGCTTTTACACATCGATGGTGTCTCATATGGGTACTTCGTACACGCAAATATTTTTACCCCTCGAGCGCCCCGATCGCCTCCGTCACCGCCGCCACGAGCCGCGACGCCTCCCCATCGCTGCGCGGCCCGTCCCTCCGCCACCTCGCCGCGTCGTGGTGCCTCGCCGCGTTCGCCCAGATGCGCAGCGAGTGCAGCTGGCTCCGCAGATCGGTCGGCAAGCCGCACTCGCGGTGCCAAAAGTTGATGCGCTCCTCGAAGCCGTCGGGCGCCGCCGCAGAGCGCGAGGCGTAGACGGCGTCGAGGCGCGGCATCAGCGTGTTGAAGGCGAGCAGCATGTTGCCCTGGATGCGCGCCTGCGCGTCGCCGGACGTGCGCATGCCGCGCACCTGCACCGAGAGCGGCGAAGGCTCGTAGCCGGTGGTGCGGGCGGCTACCGCAGCGGCCTCGTCTCCAGGTGCCGGCGCAGCCTCCTCCACCCCCGCCCCGCCCTGCGCGCCAGAGAGCAGCGCCCGCAGCGTCGTGAGCGCCTCGGGCAGTGTGGGCCGCTTGCGCAGGCTGTCGTGGCAGAGGCTCTTCTGCCCGTCTCCCGCCTTCGCGAGGTCCTTTACTGCGCGCGCCGCGTCGACTGGCCAGCCCGCAGCCACGTCCGAGAGCTTCGCCGCGTCGATGTCGGTCCAGTCCTCCTCGAACTCGTCCTCGCACCGGTCGGTGAGCTGCACCTCGGACCGGTTGGTGAGACAGACGAGGAGGGTGATCCCGATGGCGTAGCCGTCCGTCTTTGGTGAGTACTCGCCCCCCTTGGAGATGGAGGGGCAGAGGTAGCCAGTGGACATGTAGAGGGCAGTCGAGCGGCAGCGGACAGACGCGTCGGGACGCTGGTCCTTGGCGAAGCCCGTGTCGGCGAGGACGGCGGTCAGCTTCTCGTCGAGCAGGATGTTGTCCGGCTTGACGTCGCGGTGCACGATGCCCTTCGAGTGGAGGTAGACGAGCGCCTCGGTCGCCTCGCAAGCAATGCGAACGCGCTGCCGCCACGTCAGCGGCCTCGGCGGCTCTTCCATGCCCAGCCGCCGGAGCTGCGCCGCGCGGTCGGGATCCGAGATACGCAGCCGCGCCTCGAGCGAGCCGCCGCGCATCAGTGGCGAGAGGAGGCAGACGCCGTCGGGCGAGAGGCAGTAGCCGAGCAGCGGCAGCAGGTGCGGGTGACTCACCGCCTTGAGAAGCTTCACCTCGAGCTCCGCCCGTGACAAGCCGCCCGACTGCCCCGACTTTGCCCGCTTCACGACGAGCGGCAAGTGGCGCAGCTGCGGCGGCGCGGCGAGGGAGAGGTGGA